CTCGCGATAAATTTATAAAAATATTTTAACTCTCGATAAATTTTTGACAATGTTTTATATCTCGAGCAATGTTTATACAATATTTTATCTCTTGAGAATTTTTTAATAGTATTTTATCGTTCGAGGAATTTTCAAACAATGTTTTATCTCACGAGAAATTTCTAATAGTAGGTATCTCTTGAGTCAATTTTGAACAATATTTTATTTCTCAACAAATTTTTCAATAGTATTTTATCCCTCGATCAATTTTTGAACAAGGGTTTAACATTTTGTAATACTATTTTACCTCGAGCAATTTTTGAACACGATTTTAACAATTTATAATACTATTTAATCTCTGGAAAAATTATTAAATATTTTTATCTCTCATTAAATTTCTAACAGTATTTTTATCCCTAGAGCAATTTTTGAACAATATTTTACCTCTCAAGCAATTTCTAATACTATTTTATACTTAGACCAATTTTTAACACCCTTTTTTACCTCTCAAGTCATTTTTGAACAATATTTGATCTCTCGTGCAATTTTTAAACATTGTTTTATCTCTCGAGAAATGTCTGCTATTTTATCTCTGAAGTAATTTTTAACAACTATTTTAATTTCTCTTGTAATTTTTGACCAATATATTTTACACTTCAAATGGAAAGATACGCTGAAAAAAATACTAGATATTGTTTCGAGTGTACTAGAGTACCAGATTCTCAGATAATGTACTAGATCTAGTACAATTGTACTAGACTGGCAACACTGGTCTGTATACTAAACAATTTTGAAATCAATGTAAACCTACCTAAATTATGATAATTTATTTAGGGGACTGCATCGTTCTCTAATTTCATATTTTCATATCTATAGTATTTTTAATACAAATCCCGTTGTACGTCATCAATGACGTTGGTCTTTCGTCAAAGTAACCAACAATTCAAATGTCCCTGACTAATCTAATAATCCGAAAATGTCACGAATATTCACGATCATTCATGAACGTAGTCATTACTTAAAACCGAATTATATAAGTGTGATTATTTTGATAATTTTAGAATTTCTTCAATAAATTAGCTCATACACGTCTTATTCTTGATAATATAAAAATTGTATTACAGTTTATTAATCAAAAAAACATACTTTACATTAAATAATTTTGACATTATGTACGCCCATGAAATTCGCATTTATGGAGAAGTAATGTCATTATGGCAATTGGTATACTTTAGTCGCGTTTGGTTTGGCCATGGGCTGGAACGGGACAAGAGTGGAGTTTTTAGGGTGCTTTTAAATGACATTTAAGCGTGTTGAACTGTCACTAATCTAATTAAACCGAACGCTAAAAGGGTCGTTTGGAGTTAAAAGTGTTAAAGGAGTTAAAGGAACTTGGCAGACCGAACGCAATGCTTGTTGCAGCGATGCCAATATTTTAAAAAAATTAACGGATTTAGGTTATGTTTACAAGTTGATTTCTAAAAGAAACAGTGTGAGAAAAAGCTGATTATTTCTTTTATTTCTAGTTACAAAATGCCAAAACTAAATAGTCTTTGTAAGGAGCCTGTAGATTCATTAATACAATATTTTGAAAGAGGATGATGAATGATTCATCACTATTACCTTCAACTCTGTTAAGTGATGTATGAGAGTAAGTTAAAAATTATTAGAAATGTAGTATAGAAATATAAAATTGATTTATTGCCTGTTTTAACGTGTTGCAGCAACCCTAAACTTAATAGAAATATGAAATTATTTTCTTGTCTTTTTTAGCATGTTGCAGCGGCTCTAAATATAAATATTAGTAGTATTTCGCAAGCAGTCAAGAATAATGAATGATTAAAATCGCTACTTAAAAAGCATTCATATAAACAAAGGATTATTAATATAATAATACTGGATACGAGTAGAATCGGAAATGGTATTTATAACAGTAATATAAATACATACTTATTTGCAGGTCAACATATAGCTTTGGAACTTTTGAGAGAAAAGTTGACTGAGAAGCAAATGTTTAATGGCTATATTGCATCATTGTGACTGTATTAAAAGAATGAAGAAAAAAAAAAGATAACCAAAACGTGGGCTGTAAAGAGTTCAATTTTTAAGAAATTATAGAAATATAAAAGAAGCAACTCGTTTTGGAACATTAAATAGCTCCTGGAAAAATAATGACAAAGGGTGGTAGACCTAAAAAAATCGATGGCAAGAGGCAAGTCGCCAAATTTGAAGTAAATATAGGCATCAGTAATCGTGTAATCGAGTAAAAAAAACTTGTTAGGTATGTTTTGTTTCTCTTATCATGTGCCAAAATTGCTATATTCTAAACTGTAATATTGAAATGACACATCATATTGAAGATTTAATGGTAGGATACGCTAATCGGAAATGGTATTTATAACAGTAATATAAATACATACTTATTTGCAGGTCAACATATAGCTTTGGAACTTTTGAGAGAAAAGTTGACTGAGAAGCAAATGTTTAATGGCTATATTGCATCATTGTGACTGTATTAAAAGAATGAAGAAAAAAAAAAAGATAACCAAAACGTGGGCTGTAAAGAGTTCAATTTTTAAGAAATTATAGAAATATAAAAGAAGCAACTCGTTTTGGAACATTAAATAGCTCCTGGAAAAATAATGACAAAGGGTGTTAGACCTACAAAAATCGATGGCAAGAGGCAAGTCGCCAAATTTGAAGTAAATATAGGCATCAGTAATCGTGTAATCGAGTAAAAAAAACTTGTTAGGTATGTTTTGTTTCTCTTATCATGTGCCAAAATTGCTATATTCTAAACTGTAATATTGAAATGACACATCATATTGAAGATTTAATGGTAGGATACGCTATTCTAGCAATCATAGGAAAACAATTTAATTGAAAAAATTTGATTAGAGTGATCAATAAAAATCTACATGTTTTTCACATTCTCAAGATGTTCAGTGAAAACCAAAAATGCATTTTTTTTAGAAATAAACTTTAAAACAATATCAAAAAATTAGAAATGAAGTTACAAGATTTGCTATAATGGTGTACCTACCATTATATCTTTGATATGTGTTGTTTCTTTATTACAATTTAGAATATAACGATATTGACACGTTATACGAAAGAGTAACTAGAAATAAATAAAACATTCCTTTTTAGGTACAAACCACCAAAGAAATATATGGTAGATAATTAAGCAGAACAATATACCCATTAAGTATTACGTCTTCGTCCTTGCCAATGTGTTTTTAACCCCACTAAACTTATTGGGGACCTTTCCAAGCAATATTAAAATAAACATATTGACAGAGAGGGAGTTTTTGATAGATTGGAAATTATTTTTATTATAATTAACCCTAACAGCAATATCGATGACTTCGATTCAAATACTTGCGATCTGGAATAGGAGAAGGAGATTACTGAAAGTGAGATTTACTAAAGTACCTTCTTGTAATCAAATATTTTAGCAATTTCAAACTTCTTTCTTTGAGTATAGGTATATACTGATATTATGACTCCTTCACATGCCTTTGTAGTTTTAATTTTTTCAAGGACCTCTTTAATTTTATGGGGTGTTGTGGTTTATAACGTAAATGTAGTTCTGTTAAATAACTTTCTTGGTGAAATGAAATTAGTTTGAGATATTTTCTGTGCTAATTCTGGACCAATTTTGATCTATCTGAAATATACTACCTTACATTTTTATTTTCCATGACTTGCAATATGTTTATAACTTTTTTGTTCAGATGTATATTTTATGCATAAAGGAATTCAATATTTTCCATTAGTTATATACATTTAAAACCAATTGTTCCTAATATATAGATAAAAAACAAATACATAACCTTACAAGTTCAAAACTCTCTAAATTCCTCAACTATTTTGACGATTAGACAATACTGCAAGGCCGTGACGTCATAAATGATCTCTGACGTGCATCGGGATTTGTATTAAAAATATTATATAACACAAATTGAATATTAAACAATTCTGCACTAATATTTTTTGACGAACCTTGTACACGACTCAAAAAATTTAATATCTGACAGTTGAATATTAGGTTTTAGACAATGCAGAACTTTTTATAAAGAATACATTTTTTTGATAAAACTAGAAATAAAAAAGTTTCCCCTATGTAGGCACAACTTACGTATACACCAGTGGCGGCTTGTAACCAAAATATTGGGGGTTCACACTAACAAAATATAGGTGCAGTTGTTGGTAAACAAATGTCCGTGTTTTTTTATAAGAAATGTACCTTTCTAAAACACTAAAATCTTTTTACCTACAACTGTACTGAGACCTATATTTGTCATTGTGAACTCCCAATAGTTTGGGCATGTGCCACCACTGGTAGTACTGTATATATTTTATTTGAATAATTTTATATAGTCTGCACCCAAAAATTGTTATTCTTTTATCAATATATGTAAAAAGGATATCTTATTAAACGAGATTATCATTTTTGCTTAAAAGTCATAATTTTCATATTTTGTAAAAGTTTAGTCCTCCCGTTGTTACAAAAAAAAAAAGATTTGAAATTAACTGATAAATATTGATTTCAAACGAATTTATCAAGTAGGTAACAGTTTTCTCTATTTTTAAAAACAGCCAAATTCATATTTTTTACCTATTTCATAAACAGTACACACATTTTAAAATTTACATTGTTTTTTAAATCATGCATAAATTTTGTGATGCAGACTTTTTGAAATACATTGTATTTTTTGCAATTTTTTACAAATTAAACTATTTTTCGCCATATTCTAAATAAATTAACTGAATTTTTCACAAATTGGTGGAAAGTATAAAAAAATATATGCACTTTACTATAACGGGTGAAAAAAAGCATGTTTCAAAAGTCTAATATAAATAATAACACAGGGGAGTAATTTGGAAACTCTATCAGGTTCTATCTTTTACGTGATTATAAGGATGGAACCACATACAAAATTCACATTTATATATATTAAAAATATTTTAAAGATTTACAAATGTGAGAAAAATTAACTAAATAACTAACAACCAACCTTCATCGTTCATATACAAAAGACACGGAGCGGAAAACCCCCTTCTTCCAGTCGTATACAGTTGTCTTTCGCTGAAAGCATCCCAAATGATGACGTTCCCCTTGTTGCTTCCTGTCGCTATGCGAAACGTATATGGAAAATTGTCGCAAAAAGCGGCCGATATTAAAAAGTCATCTTTTTCGTCGATTTTGAAACGTTTGCGAGGCAAGGTCTTACCGCGATCGGCCGTGTACATGTCTTGCCAATAAGGCTGTTTCGCTTTGGGAGAAACTAAAAAAGGAAATATGATACAATAAAATCTTGGCATTTGTGTGCATAAATTTTTTTTTTTAAAGAAAATATAATAAAAAAAGTGTTTTATACACGTTTTGAAACAAAAAAAATGTATTAGTACCCTCAAATTGTGCCAAGCTGTCATTAAAATGTTTTAAACATGTGTGCATAAATTTTTTTTTTAAAGAAAATATAATAAAAAAAGTGTTTTATACACGTTTTGAAACAAAAAAAATGTATTAGTACCCTCAAATTGTGCCAAGCTGTCATTAAAATGTTTTAAACATGTGTCAAAAGGTAAACCACACATTACATCAAAAAGTATGTTTCAGAATAGTGATGGGACGCTTGGAAAAGTACACGGACAAGTCCGACGACTAGTCTAAAAAGTTGACTAGTCCAAACACATTTTTTAAAAGTGGAAAAGTGTATTGCACATGCGCGAATTAAATTAACTAATTCGTCTCAATTTCTTACAAATAAAGACAAAATATAGTTTAAAAAGAAGAAACGACAAATGTTTACTGACTTTTATAATGTTTTAACGATGTTTTCGAATATTCGTTTTATATCTTATTAAAATAAACTCTTGAAAAAATTCAAAGGTTGGAAGTATTTTACAAATGATTTGCCTAAAAAAAAAACGAAAATAAAAATGCAAATATTGTTCCCAAAGTGTTTTTGAAAAAACATCGAGGATGGAGATTTAAGAGTGTATTCTATGCTCAAGGTCGAATACTTGTCATGGTGACTTTCACTACTTTTCCGGACATGTCCGTCAGACTAGTCAAAAAATTACTTTTCATGAGTCCCATCTCTATTTCAGAATAAACAGAACCGCGGGACAAAACCACAAAAACATCAAAAACTTGTGTTATATCATGTAAAAACATTGACCAAAATGTTCCTCAAATTGAACAAACCATTCTTTAAAACGTTCGTCAATTCAAACAGCACTACATCCTCAAAAACGTACCTTAAAGTATCTATGCTGTACTTTAAAACTAATAGAACATTCTTTAAATGCCTAAAACCTACTTTAAACCATTATAATGTTGAAATTATGTAACACTTTGAAAACGGACAAACGTGTGTCAAAACACGGAACTAGTACCTCAAATCAAAGAAATCGCATGTTAAAATGTTTAAAACGTACTAAGTATATTTTTTAAAATGTACGTCTAGACGATTTAAAATATCTAAGACACAATTTAAAACATCTAAAACACAATTTAAATGATCCAAAACACAATTATAAATAAAAAAGGAAAATAATTCCAAGTCAAATGTGACCAAGATAAAATAAATAAACAGAAAACCATGTCACCCAAAATACGAGCGACCGTTTCCCTTCAGAAAACAACTACTTCTTTGGCTAATAGCGCAAGAGGTATTGAATTATATTCAAAGGAAAGACAGCAGATATAGCAATTTAATTTGAGTACTATCTTTGATTTTGCTTACTAAGAATGTCATTCTTGGACCGGTTTTGTCCTTATTAGGACTCATCAGCAAGACATAGATAAGGTTCTCAATTCCAGTCTCTAATGAAATTAGCAATTGCATCAAATTTACTAGTATGGTGGTTAATTGGTTACGAAAGAATCAGTAGTCAAGTACTCAGACAGCACACTATATCCCTGGCATATGCCACCAATCTGGCTATTTGCCAAAATATATTGCAATATTTATGAAATATTCACATAATATATTTTATAATCTACATTCTAGAAAGATATTCCAGGCATATGTATTTTTTGATATGCCCAGAATATTCATTTTTCATATTTTATACATATCTCTGTAGAATATTATGTTATATTTAACTATTTCGTTTAATTTTCTATGAGTATAAATGAAGACATAGTAACCAGGATCACCCTTGTTTAGTTTATAAAGACTTAAACAGAAACATGAACTTAGAATTCCGGAATGTAACTTTAAATCATGATCATGCAAACTTATTGTCAATTAAGAGGAGTATTTACTTGGCTTTAGAGCAGAGCATGCAAGGGTTTCGTAGTACCCCACTTTTAAAGTTTATTTTTGACATATTTTGAAAGAAAAAAATATGTGCGTGTAGGTAAAGGTTAAATCTGTGCTCCTCTGGAAACACTTTTTCAAAATTTCATTCTGTTTTTTCTAAAAAAAAAAACACAAAACTCGACTTTTTTGATCAATTTTCTTAATTTTTTTTAGAAAAAAGTAAAATGAATTTTGAAAAAGTGGTTCCAGAGGAGCATAGATTTAACCTTTATCTACACATACATATTTTTTTCTTTTGAAAATACTCAAAAATAAACTTTAAAAGTGGGGTACTACGAAACCCTTACATTGCAAGATTTTTCGTCTGGCAAGTGGCGCCTCTGTTAAAAAAAAAAAAAAATGCTAGAAGGGAACAATATATGTTTTTAATGTTTACAGGAACATTTATTTTTCTCAATAAAAATTAAAAAAATACGTTAAAAGCTTTTTCGTCTAGAGGACGACACCAACAAAATGTATAACGTTTTCTACTATTTACAAGTGATAAACGTACGCAAGTGATTTGAATTTATTTTGTTTTATGTCTGTACACTTTGTTATTTTTACATACAGTAATTTCGCTCAATTATTTTAAATTAATTTTATCATTTGGTTATTAAAAAAATATATCCGAAATTAAAACGTATACATTGAGATTTGAATTATAAATTAACTTTTATATTGCACGGGAGTTTTTTTTCGAGTTCCAGCATGTTAACAACTCTTTAAGCTGTTAAAGTAATGTATATTTTTTCGAACTTACTAAATCATTTTTGCTTTCGAGCATGGCTTTGATCTCTCACACTCTTTGATGCGCGTTGCAAAAGATTTTCTAAAAAGTTTGATAATGTCTATGCATGAGAAAAAAATGAATGTGACAAGAGATCAAGCTGATTGTGGATTGTAGCAAAATGAAAGACGAAAACGAGTCACTCGAGTCACTGTTTCAAAATTTGAAGACATTTGTAAAAAAAAGTAAAGGCATTTTTTAAACAATCTCATAAAATCTTTTATTTTTTGCTAAAGCCTTTTAATATGACATGGACAATAAATCCAGAGCAAAATAAGATTTGGAAATTTATTTGCAAGAGAAAGTTTTTATATGTGGACTTTTATTGTTTCCGAATTTGATTATGTTGCTGCCAGTCCAGATGGAATTTAAAACAAAAAACTCTATGATAGAGTTAAAATGTCCATATGAAGCTAGAGTGTTGACTGAAGAAAAAGGAATATGCAGTAGAAAAATAACTTTCTGGAAAAAGGATAATACCATTAAGGGGAACCACAATCGGTACGTTCAAATTCAGGACTAGCTGCACATTACACAAATGAATTTTTGCATTTTATGCGTTTGGACTCCTCGAGAAATAAAAGTGGAGGAAATTCCTCATAATGACATCTTTTGGGAAGAAATTTTTTATACTTATTTAAAAAAAATTTCAGCCCTTCAAAAATTTGTTTAGAAAGTCATTTTTTTAAATATAATTTTATCATTTAACAAAAAGGAAGGTCCTAATGAAAAACTTAGTATAGCTCTGTTTCTCTCTACGTGTCGGCTGATGCATCACATTATTAATATGCTAAGATTTTATTCATTTTTTTATTATAAAACTTCTTGTTAGGTGCCAATGGACAAAGTGTCATATTGTCTGTTTTTACTAAAAAATTATTAATTGTGTTACATATTAAAGTTGCTAATAAATTGGGAAGAAATATAGACATTTTTTAGGTTTTTATTACATCTACATTCATCCTGTTATAGCTGAATGCCTGAATATATTTGGGTAAGTTGGGTAAGTTTTCGTTAAACATTTTAATTACAGATTTGTTGTTGCAAGAAGCAAAGACACAAATGATATCAAAATATGACTTCTTAATCCTTGCATGATGAACAGTTTCTTCACAATATTTTATTAGCAGAGGATATGGACAGAAGCATTAGGTAATTATGCCGAAATATTTAAGTATGATCTGACAGCCTCTCCCATGTCTCTAACAGTAAATGGGTATCTCAGATAGTTTGATATCAAATATCTTTGAAGTAAGTTAACATAAAATATCTAAAACAAAATTTAAAATATCTAAAACAGTTTAAAATAGGTATCTAAACGTACTTTGTGTCAAAACTTTCATAATATAAAAAATAACATTAACTTACTTGAGAACTCGTAGGTAAAATCTCGACTATTTCTCGAACTGTCGGCCGTGAACTTCCACAACAGCACAGTGCCATCTACAGACACGGACAAAAAGTGAGTTTTGTCCGGACTGACGATCAAATTTTTGATGGCGCCGGCGTGGCCGACGAAATTCGATATCTCCTTGGTGCTGTCTTCATAAAACAGCTAAAATGAACAAAAATACATTAAACAAAAAATTGTTTTTCCAAGAACAATAGAAAAACTCACCGTTATTTTTCCCTGGATGGTTCCTATTAGAATATGATACGGAGAATCGACAAAGCAGGCTGAAGTGATATCGTCTCTGATGTTTATTATTTGCGAATAATCCAAGCCCTCGCAAGGTCTCCTAAATCAATAAAGAATTAAAAAAAAAGAAGGTTCAACCTCAAAATGTACTTACTGCAGTTGAAAATAGAGATGAGGAGACGCTTTAGCGATTTTCAATGCATCTTTGAAAACATAAGTGTCTCTATTTTCACGCAAAGCATACTGTACTATATCAGACTTATGGTATATGTAAAGATTGGCACCGCAACGTTGTATAAAGTCTTTGTATTCGTTGAGTTTTTCTTTCATAGAGGTTACCTAAAAAAAATCAATAAAAAAATCCACTCCAATAGCTTGGGGAAGAAGTTGATGAAACATTTTATAAACCAACAAACCTCCAAGATGAAGTTTTAGTTACAGAATCAACAGGAGTGATTAAAAACAATATTACGATTAAGCCAAAAACGATTTAAAACATAAAACAACAATTAAAATATTTAAAACACAATTTAAAGTATTTAACGTTTAAAACGTCCTTTTGAACATCTAAAACCTTTCGAATACAGACAGCAAATGTAAAAGTGTATAAAAAAGCCGAATTTGCACCTCAAATCAGAGAAACCACACGTTAAAACGACTGGCAACATGTTTAAACGGTATTATTTTTCTTAAAATCATAAAACACAATTTAAAATGTCTAAAACGCAACAATTTAAAATATATAAAACGCAATTTAAACGATTAAAAGTCTGATTAAAATACTATCATTATTTCCACCGGAAAATCGAAAAGTAGTCTAAGAGTAAATTATGTACAACTAGGGACTTTATTTTTGAATTCTCTGGAGACAGATTATACGAAACCAAGCATGATAAATATCGAACCAGTATAAAAAGAATACAGTCGGAATATCTCAACCTAAACCGTACTGGGGCTGGTAGTTTTTTATCCGCCTTCTTGTTCTTTGTGTCTGTATATTATAAAGATATAGTGTGACGTAATCAACCTCCATCTCATTATTTTTCTACTTGGGACAATAGCCTTTAACATTGTGCTAAACAAAGGTATTATTAAAACTAATAATTTTAACTTACTTTTCTAGTAATATAATCTTCGTACTTGTTCATGTCCCTCAACAAGTCTTCCTTGCCGACGGCCTTCAATTTCGATTCCAAAAATTTCAAATCGAAATAGATTTCAAACTTATCGAACGCTTCTGCGTGGTACAGATGGTATCCGATGAACTGGAAGGTGTAATTATCGTTGGGCAAGGAAGCGTAATTTTGTTTCGTGATCCTATCATAACCGGCGAGCAGCTTTCTGTGCAAGTCTTTTCTGGATTTGGCAGTGACTTCTTTGAGGTAGGCGAGAAATATTTGGTGAATACCTAAACAAAATGTAATAATGTCAAACATAAAATTCTCAAACCAAAAATATGTATTCAAACACAATTTAAATTAAAATCTAAAACGTTTTGTATGATATATATTGCATATATTGAAATTGTTTTGATTAGTTTTAAAACCATTTAAATCCAAATATAGTACGTTAAAACGGACGTCGATAGCTTCGTTTGCAGAAAGAATTCTGAACTGATTCAGAGTTACTAATTTATTCTTTGAGCGTATACCCGACTCATTATCAATTCTGAATTTTTACTGCAAACGCAACAACTACGTCTAAACCACAAGTTAAATGATTGAAAACAAATTAAAATAATGTAAAAAACAATAAAAAGAAATATAAAAATCTGAAACAACGTAAAATATCTAAAAGACCATTTTAAATATCTAAAACATAATTTTATTAACTTAAATTCAATTTGAAATATCTAAAATACGATTTGAAAAACCTAAAACACAATTTAAAATATCTAAAAATGTAATATAACACAAAAAAGAAAATATTCTGACTAACATCAATATTACTCTATAGTTAAATACCAAAATAATAGACTGTAATTTAATGCGTGAAGAATGCTGTCATGTCATTGTGCCAAAGTTTGCAGTTTCTAAAAAGTGTTCATTAATGAAGAGTTTATGGTATAATGAAGCATTTTGACCCTAGGCCTGCAAAAATTGAATTGCGAGACAGTAGTTTAAATGTACATTAAGGAAGAATTCTTGATATAGTGCAAATGCACCAAACTTAACAATGTTCATGAATAAATGTTTTGATACTAAAATAATTTGGGTTATAAAACTTCAAAAAACTACGAATTATAAGGTAGCAGTTCAAATGTACCAAACTAAAACAATGTACATTAAAGAAAAGTTCATGTTTCACCTTAGAACTGCAAGGAAGTAGTTCAAATGTACCAAACTCAAAAACTGAATTGCAAGATAGTAAAAAAGGAAATAATTCCAAACTCAAATGTGACCGAGATGTAATATACATCAAACAATTGTCAAAGCCATAGTCACAATATATGTGCGGTCGTTTCTCTTTTACAACAACTACTCCTTTGGCTAATACCGCACCAGGTATTGAATTACGTTAAAATAAAATAGCAGAGATAGAAAATATTAACAACACTCTACCTTTGATTTTACCCACTAAGGAGAAAGTCATTCTTAGACCGATTTCGTCCTTATTAGGACTCTTCAGCAAGAAATAGAAATTCTCGACTCCAGTCTCTAATGGAGTCTGATTGGAATACCAAATTCGATCGAACACAATAATATCTTGATCTACCTCCATAAATCTGGAGAATTCTTCCCCACCACTTGAACTTGACAGTTTTTTAAAGGATTTTGGTCTTAAAGAGTAAACTTGTCGCGCCCAGAAACTGGCGTTGCTTGTTTGAAGGTAACAAGCAAACTATGTATTTTAAGTTATAAAATACAAAAATCGACGAATTGTTAGATAGTAGTTCAAATGTATCAAACTCAAATATTGAATTGAAAGACAGTATAGTTTAAGTGTACCAAACTCAAAAGTGCTGCAGAATTTTTTGGAGGTTACGAGACAAGGGATTTTTTCAGTGCCGGGCATATATTGTAATTGCACATATGACACTTCTGTCAGCATTCTTTACATATTTTTGACATTAAATTACTACTTACTATTTCGACATTCTAATATAACTGCAAAAAAAACATTTTAATCTTTGTACTTACCATAAATGTAAGACTTGAGATCGTTATGAAAGAAAGGTACAATGAGCGATTTTTCTGCTAATATATTCATGATGTTCGTAACTTCGTTCGATTTCTTGTTCCAGAGAATTCTGAGAACCTCGGGTGGAATGTTAACGTCCTGTTGGAAGATCACGAGATCTTGATAAAGGTCTCTGAGGTTATCGTCCGTAAGCAGTTTTTCCACACACTTTTTTACTATAATATTTACGTCTACTGCACCGGGATTATATTCGTTCAGTCTGAAAATTAATGACGAAACAATAAACAGCAAAGTTTCACCAGTTATTAGCTATTAAAATATATTATTAAGACTCAGACAAAATGGAAACATACATCTGAATATAGCACTTAAAAACGAAAATATACATGAAAAAATTTAATTGATATAGCTAAAAGCAAACAATACAGTAATATGAAATATGAAAATATGAGAACTGTAAAATTATTATAAAGAAACTAAAAAATTAGAGATTAAGAGGACTTAATAACTGCAACTGGTAAAAACGAATTGCTGATCTGATGATAGAATTGCAACATAATAAATTAGTTATTAAAGTAAAATAAAAAAAAAACAAAAATGGGGACTGTAAAAGAAATGTGGACAGATATAGTAGAACAACTAGGAAAAATATTTTCATCAAAATGGTAAAAACGAGTTCATAAAAATATAAGAAACAAATCAAATTTGTGTCCCAAGAATTCTGTATGTTGTCTAGTTCTGTTGTTTATTATTACGTTTGAATCTTGTAAAACACATTAAATGATTATTTTCGCTTTTGTTTTATTTATTCCTCTGTTATTTACTTCATATTCAAATTATTTTATACGTACCTATAGTTTCCTTCTGAAAAGAGATTTTTCATGTACGACCATATTTCCTCTTGTCCGCCTTTAACGCCTTGTGCGTTTTCGGTCAAATAGGAACCAATGAGAGAAATGAGCAACGGGTGACCTTGGCAAATATTGTGAATTTCCTCGGCGGCCGATGGAAGATCCTTGGAAATTTTTAATGATTTTTTAAACAATTCGAGCGATTCTGTGGTGGAAAAACCAGTTTTAACCTAAAAATCCATATTTATTTTTATGTAGTACGCGAAAAATTGTCACTAGCTCAGTAAAATATTATTTATTACTAAAATAGAAAAAAATTGGTTCGTTTAAAAGCGTTGAAGGTTGTTGAAACTTTTCATAGATGATAGTACCAACGTTCCGGTATCCTAGTAAATCATTAATATATAATAAAAATAGCATGGGCATCTAAATTGATCCTTGTATATAACCGATTATTACAATTACCAAAATTGAGTTGAACCTTATAATTAATGTACTGAGGAACAAAATCAGCTCTGTCAGGTAATAATCACAATCATTTTACTAAAAAATAAACTTACCTCCACAAAAATCGTGCCGCTTTTGTTATAAAAAATATTCTTGTTCTGTGTCGTGATCACAGTTTTGCATTTCAAGTCAAATACGGTTAATACGTCGTTGTTGCCAATGTCGTCTAAAATGATTAGTGAGTTTTTCAGTCTATTTTCCAAAAATAATTTTATTAGTGAGTCTTTTAGCACCTCTAAGTCATCCGGGCAGTGCGAGGTCTTTTTCTCAAGGACGGAACACGCAGTGTTATACAATCTAAAAAAAATTGTTCAAAAAATTGTTTTTGCCTATCGTGATTTGAAAACCAACCTCAACATGGGCTGCCACACATCTTCCTTACTGTGACAATCGCCTAGATTGATCCAAAATAGGTAATTGTCAAAATATTGACGGACTTTGTTATCTCTGAGTACCTCGTTTATTAGACACGATTTACCATAGCCCATCATACCATGTATCACCAATTTTTGATTATACTTTAAATCCATAAGTTTGTATTTGACATTTTCCACCTACACGAAAAAAAAAAAAAGTTAAGAAAAACATGTTACCTATAAATAAAATCACATCAACATAATGCTAATAATTCTACTACTACAACAATGGGCAGTCAAGTTGGATCCAGCATATCTTATTACCTGAGATCGAAAAAGGTAATGTGGAACCAACATATTTTCCTAGTATTCTAATTATCTTAGTAAAGTTGAGAATGCATTAGGGAATCGCGAACCATCGTGCATTAGGGAATCTCGAACCATCGCATCGCAGACTGTGCTAGTCTCGAGCTCGCACAGTAAAGTTCTTTCCCATATTTTATAACGCATGCATTTCGATTTGGTGTTCTTGAGCTGTGCTCGCTCGCATCGCTTTATCCTCCTATATTTTCCAAAGAATCTCGGAAGACCGCAATGCGATCGAGACTAACACAGCCCGCGATGCGACGGGACCGCGATTACCTAATGTGTTCCCTCCTTAATAGTACTGGGTATTGTTGCCAATTGTCATGGAATATATAAAAAGCACAGAAAAACAAAAAATGAAAAACCTATTAGGCATTCCAAACAAAATGGTTGCTCGTGGATGTCAGGTTATGATATGGCTACTCTGTGGATCTGGTGATCTAACAGGGTCAATGAGGTAGATAGTTATATAGATTGATTATCCATGTTTTTCAAAATAAACATCAGCTTATGCCTTACTGTAAAAATGTAGGTAATTATTTTTTTTGCTATATTATTCAAAGGCTGAAAATTTGTTTTAAAATACATTTTTAATAAACTGATTCTGATTAATGAGCACTTAAGAGGTAATATGGCCGCTCGCAAAACGTCCCGCTTTGAGCAATGTATATATGTATAATTAACCCTGTCAAAGACAACAGGCCTACAGTGTTGCCATATCACAACCTGTCATTACCCAAGAGAAGTATATTGACAGGTCATTGGAATGCCTAATATGTATAAGACAATTTTTTAATACATCCATGTTATGTAATTAACAATATAATTTTAATATTGTGAGATGAAAAATGAGTTGGTTAAAATGTCGTTTTTGTTTTATTTTTATTGTATTAGAACGATTTTTCTAAAATTTTGTAATATTCAAAATAATCATATTTAGGTTGTTTGGACCATTAAAGTGTATGGTAGACTCTAAGAAAGCTTATATAAAAAAATGTGCTCATCTGGCATTAGATCTAAGTTATATAGAAATTCCATTTAAAAAATGTTTGAATTCCATTCATTTAATAAAATAAATGACTCAAAATATAAATAATTATTAACCTAAGCACTTCTAATTATAATTTTGTTAAACTAAGTAGGTACTAGAATCGTTTGTGCACACATTATTTCCGTTTGTACAGGCCTTATTTTTTTTGTCCACCCAATAGAAATTGGTTATTAACAAATGAATCCAAAATATAAACGATACTGGAATCGTTTGTTTAATCATTATTTTTATTTGTCCTACCATTATTTTCATTTGTCCATCAAAAATAAATTATTTATTAACAAATAAAGAAGCCAAAATATGTATAAACAATTCTTAACATGACTTGCATTTTGTTAAAATCAAAGATATCGGATATAATAGATACGCCTTGTATACATTGAATTTGTCGGCAACATCTTTCTGACAGTACGCTTCATCCATCAAATATCCTGCATTAAATTTTTATAAAAAAACTATTTCCTTTAATATAATCGATTAAAAAAAGAAAAATAAAGAATTGAAGGCAACAATATGAGTTTTTTTATTAATTACAATCACTTAAGATTTTTATTTATCGTCTATTACACGTTTAACCTGTGGATATTGAACATTCTGGTTTGGCAATATAAGACATTTTGTTGACGGCGTCAAGTGACAGCTTAATTTTTATAGCCCTTTTTTGTAGTTATTTGAGATTTTCGAGTATCATTTGAACATTGAATTGTTTAATAAGGACATTTAGGATGGCGAGGAAATGTGTAGTGTGCCAAACTGTTTATAATAAGAATGTTATGCACTCATTTCTTAGGTAAGGTTTTGTTATCATAGACGGAGGCATATACAGGGTGTTTCCGAACTTGGTGTCCAAATTCGTAGGGGTGGTAGTTCGCATAATTTGAGACCGATTCGCAGATTTCATTTTTCCAAAATATTTAAAATAAAAATAATTAAAAATTATAAACAGGTACGGTCCTGCACAGCGATAGGATCGCCTAGACCAGGGGCTGGTATCTCAAATGGAAAAACATGAGGACGGTAATTTAGTACCACTCCAATTAACGGGATGGCGCTCGTATCGAAATGTCATGTCAGTTGTCAGCTTCTCAACAAAACTTCATACTTGGAAAAATTAAAATGGCTGTCGCATTTGAAGGTGTATTGAATTTTGATTCATCTAGATTTATTTTTCAACACCTTGCAATTTTAAGAATGTTTTCAAGAGATGGGAACATGGATTTCAGCAACGAACAATGAAGCACTCCCAGATATTGGTAGTGATGCAATTTATACCACGTATTAAATATGCGGTCGTCATATTAAGGATAAACATACAATTTGTAATAAGTGTCTTAAGAAAAATGCATCTTGTACTGGCATATCAATGGTAAGTAATATTTACAAACTTGTTTTTGATTCAGTGTTAAAATAATTGGTTTGTTATTTAAATTTATTTAAAGTTTTTAAATGATCATTGTTATAAAGAAAATGTTGGCCCTTCAAAATACCCTGTAGATCGATGAAATATTTGAGCCTTAGCCATCAATATCAAAATTTGATTCAATGCCATTGACATCAAACAAGAAAACACCCTAAAATCTTCAAAGGTCCAAACGTGTGTAAGTTTAATTTAAGCTCGAAAGTTAAATTTATTTATCACAGTGCTCAGATGATGAATAAGAATTTGATAACTACAGGTGCTGTACAAATAAATCAATAAAACAATATCGGATGAAGAAATGTTCCTCAACTTAACTAGTCGACTCAATAAGCATATGGCAAATTTTATCCACCCTCAAATTCGCCTTGATTGTAAGACACCAAAAGGATGATGCTTCAGGTTTTTTGAAACTTATTGCCACTCCAAGTTGCAAAACTGTTATATTGGTCTTGAGCACTTAAATATGTCGAGTTTGTTACAGAAAACCTATTTCCATGTTTAAATAGACAAATTATATGATGCGGCGTTAATTTACTGTAATAAAAAAAATAAATTAAATAAATTGCATTTTATTTCAAGTTTGAAATTAATGCAAAAATATAATGAAGAAAATCAAACAAAAAAAATTAATTGGCAAAATATTTGACTAGTTTCAAATCACAAAACAGTCAATATGGTTGTTTTATGATTTGAAACTAGTCAAATATTTTGCCAATTTATTTTTTTTGTTTGATTTTCTTCATTATATTTTTGCGCGACTAGCAGAAAGTTAAATTTCAAAAAGCTTGCGCTAAGCGGCCATATTGAATTTTAGTACCACTCCAATTTGATAGATGGCAGCACATCGACTCAGAATATTACCATTGAGTTTCCCATCTATTCACATTAGTAATCTATGGCCTAGACTCGCGCGCGCTACGCTTAGAAATGACAAAATTGCAAATCTCATCTGTTTTTGAGGACTATTGCGCTATGCGCTCAGGGTAGGACCTGCTCTTTCATTTTTTTTTATAATGGCTCTATTTTGTTTATTATAATTTTTTTAGAAAAATGAAATCTGCCAATCGCTCTCAAATTATGCGAAATACCACCCCTACAAATTTGGACGCCAAGTTCGGAAACACCCTGTATAAGGAATAAGGCTTGATTTATTTAACATTGTAAAGGCATGTATAAAAGTGTCGATAATACCTGTCTTAAAAGAGTTGTCATTCCGTTATGCAGATAACGACGAACAACTATTAGACAATTTTGTTTATAAAAATCGAATTGCCAAAATTCACATCCACTTAGTTTTAAAATTATTATGAGTAGGTTATAATTTGGTATTGACTTAACATAAGGCTCTGAAACGCACAAAAGGCTTTCAAAATTACATTAAGGAAATATATTTGCATTCTTAATAGCAATTATTATCAGTTTAATGTATTTTTCTCGTTGCAACTATCATAGTTGAAGATCATTTCAAGGAAAGTTCGCAATTAATTTTGAAGTGTGACAGCAGCGTAAAGCAAGCGTGGTAGACTGATTCATTCATAAAACGCATGCTCGCTCCTCAGATTAACAAACTCGCACAAATTATCCCCACTCAAATTAGCAACCATCTTGTTCTTTCTAATGCGACAGCTCTGTCTGCATAATAGAAAATAAAATCTGAATTATTGAAATAAATAAGGGATTAATTTTGAATGAATGGATTAGTCTAGTAGTTTTGTCGTCGTTGTTTCAAATAATAACAAAACTGTTCAATTTGAGCTGCTATTTTAATGTACAAGAAAATATACAGAACAGTTTTTTGAATAAACTCTGTATATATTGAAAATTGTTTCTTTTAATTTACCTTTGATTCAGAAGACCTATTGAACGTGTATATGTTATTAAAATTTGATCAATAAATAATTTTTATAAAATCTAAATAATAAACCTTTCCGAAACACGGTTATGTGCGACGTACCATACCCCTTTCTCTGTCTGGTATATCATGCGGACAGAAGGTGTATTGGTTATACAGTGTGAAGGGCAAGTCTATCTTAGATAATATTATGTATATGGTTAAAACTAACTACCCGTACTATGAGCCATAGGTTTGGATGATGTACGAAATGTAAAAAAAAAAAAATTATATTACCAAGTTATTTGTAACGTTTTATTTTTTTAAACTGAATATAAAACTCAAGTTTAAATTCTTTTGTAACAAGTTAACTATAACATAAGATTTGGTATTAATATTAATTATAAACTCAATTTTCCCAGTAAGTGTGTTTTGTGACATCGTCTGTTTGCCCTTCAAGTGGTACATGCCTTTCAAAAACTTGAATTATTTTCTTAATATTTTAGTTATGCTCATTCGACGACAAGTGT